TCAGCTTGCTCTATCTCCTTTAAATTTCCTTTCTTTCAGAGAAAGAAAACGCTGGGGTGAAGTATTGTCTTCAAGTTGACAGGCACTGAAAAATGACTATATTCTCTGGACCAGCCCGCCAGTCACACACCCACATCATTTAATTTGAAAAGAAAAATTAAATGACATTGGCAGAAAAATTCCACCTCAATTAATAACTTTGTATTGCACTAACTGGAAATTAATCACCGCACAATATATCTACTTTGCTCCTGCCAAAAGAATATGTCTATCACCAAGAACTTTAGTAGACATCAATTAAGAAAAATCAGGCTGTTTCACAAATGCCTGAGATTAAAGTAACAGTTCATTTAAAGCAGAGCAAATAAGCTGCCAAAATATACATTTTAACTTAAGATTAATGGGTGTGAGTAGAACACATCTTAAGCAAAGCTTTAGTCTTCTGAATTAGTCTTTGCTATAATGAAAGTGCCTTTGATGCCATCGCACTTGGTGTTATGAAAGATGTTATGTGTGAAGTTTACATTATTTCTTGCAAAGCTATTTTACTGCTTATGTGAGGAACTAAGATTGATGGCAGAGCCTGTTTGTGGGTGAAGAACTTTCCTGCACGTGTATGTTCAGGGCGCGAGCAGCGAGGGCAGGCAGTGGCTATGAATTACACATCAAATAGAAGGGTGTTTGTGGTCTGAACAGCTGAACTTAATTCAGGTCACTGGCTAGCTTGACAGGAAGGAATCAAGGCAACGAAGCTGCCTCAGACGTATTTCCTGCTGCATTGTTTATCTATTTTTCATGAAATCTTTTGCTAAATTACCTTTGCTATGATCTTCATTTCATTCTACATGTAAGTCTACCTTCGCTACCTGTATTTATGGATCAGGAGAGAATGACTTGCATCTTTAAATCTGTTTTCATTAGTGGAACCAACCACCAGATTGCCTTTGGAACAAAAATATAAAAAATGTAATTTACAAGCAATTTATATTAGGGTCATATTTATCAAGTACTTACTATGTACCAGGTGCTAACTCAAATACCTTGTAAGGATTATCTCCTTTATGACAAATCTGTAAGGGAATTTCTATTTTTATTCTTATTTTATGTATGAGGAAATTGAAACAGTAAATTATTCAACATTACTTTGCTGAAGAAAAGCAGAAAGGCATTCAGGGTAAGGCTGGCATTGGAGATCTCTCTTAAACCTTTGCTATTCCAGATTACTTTCCCAAAGCATATGAAATATACTGTTGCGGTGATTACTACTCTTTTGTAAAACTTATTGGTTCAATTTTCTGCTGAGAGTTAAGAACCAGTCAAAAGAAGTTTTCACAATCCTCCTTAGTCTGCCAAGAGGGGTACAATGAATTGATCCTACTATGGTCTAGACACATTTTATTTTTCTATTTTTCTTAACCTATTGTGAATATCCATAAGAGTCAGGAAATATTTACTCTTATTTCAGTATATCGTTCCTTATTCTTAAAGAAGATAATTGTTAGTGAAAGTCTATTAGAAACTAAAGGTCTTTGAACTATGGTCTCATTATGTAAGAGGAGAAAGAATTTGACTTACTTTCTCTTCTAGCTTCATGAGCAATAGGATCCTTTAAAAGGCTGGGATTAGGGTGAATATCGTAGACCTAGAAAATTGTGAAACATATCGACCCCAGTTTGTTTACAGTTTCTAACTTGGGACCTAATAGATGTTTTTTTCAGTTTAAAGCTGAATTCAAAACAATGCATTCTAACATGCATTTAAATATAGAATTATTACTATAAGAAAAAGAGAAATTTAAGACTAAGATTATTTTACAGCTAATTGATTTCTACAACTTGAGAATCTTCTGAGATTTCTAGAGATTAAAATAATGGCTTATTTATTAATCCAAGGTCAACAGGATTCAAGTGATTTTGCACTGACTTATAAAACAGGTATACCTAAATTATAAGACCATCTAAGTAAACCATAGGCAGCTCCCCTGAGCCATTTGCTTTAGCCAGATATAACACTTTTGAGAGTGTATGGCAGCAAAATATCAAGTCAGACTTTCTTAGTTCTTATGAAATTTATACCTTGAGGAATTAATGTCATTTTAAATAAATAGATCAAAGAACAAACTTATTGGTCATTATTAGGCTAAGTGACATCAAGAAGAAATAGGAAAGTCTTGGATCTTATAAATTGTGTTTAGTTTAACCTTGATAATTAATAGAGTAAGTAATTCCTCTTATTTTTCCTTTCTGTATTAGAGCAAACAATGTTGGCTAAGGAAAGAGTTTGGTCCCCCATAGAGTTCTTGATCTACTTGGAGATACAAGTCCTATGCATTTATATATTCATAGATCTATGAGAATATGTCTAATAACCCAGGGGTGAGGAAAGTAGAGCTTGGTGAATTATGCGATCATGTCTACACACACTCAGGGGCGGAAAGAGTACACCAAAGACTGCTGAGGGGGAGCCCCTCGTGAGTGGCAGGGCCTGAAACTCGGCCTTGAGAGGTCTGAGGAAGAAGCAGCAGCCAAAGATGCCTCCGAGACAGAGATAATGTAGAGGAGCCACCAGGGAGGGTCACAGTGTTAGGCGAGTGTGGTTAAATCAGGGGTCAGGTGAGTATCACCATCAGCGCAAACCCATTTCTATCAGTAGAACACTTCTTAGTGTATGTGTCACATTGGCAATGAAGAAACTTGGGTTGAAGAATTTGTATTTATTCCAGTTTGTTATAATTGATGGAAAAAATACTTTTCATTCTATTTCATTCACCCATAGGAAAAAATGTATGCTTTCTGTTAATTAAATTAATAATTTAATTTTGTCTTTGCATCCAATGACACATAGCTCCAAATTTTCTGAGACCAAACTGTAGATAAGCTTGCTAGGAAACAGACTCCCATCAGAATCATCCCATTTTATGAAATGGGAAGCTAAGGGCCTTTGTTCTACATCAAGGATAGGTTTTGCGTGAAAACTACGTACCCATGTTTATATATTACTTCATCAAAGCTGAGCTGTAGAAACAGCCTAGATGACTATCAACAGAGGCATGAGTAAAGAAAATGTGTAAATATACACAATGAAGCATTATGCATTTACAAAGAAGGATGAAATCACGTTACTTGCAGGGATACAGGTGAAACTAGAGATGATCATGTTAAGTGAGGGAAACCAGAAACACAAGTTAAATAAGGTAGGGTTTCACTTATATGAGAGGCGAAAGCAAAAACAAAACAGAATAAAGTGAGACACAAGAGGAAACTAGACTTCTGGAAGTGGGGAGAGGCTTTGGGAAAGAGAAGAGGAAAGCAGGGAAGGGAATGGAATTGAAAATGACCAAGATGTGTTAAATGAATGAACAAATTTCCCAAAACAACCGTTAGCATCCTGTATTATTATCAATCTCTAATTTAAACCATGAACAGTTCTGGGAACTTAAAGAAATATAACAGGACATTATTTGTGGGATTTTATTGAAAAATGAGATTTAATTACTCATTCTTTTAAATACTATGATGACTAAATGAAATCATTCTATGAATGGAATAGTCAATATAAATATTATGCAAAGAAATAAAAAATTAATATTTAACACTAATATGACAATTAACATTTTTCTTGTTTTTTGACATAAATAATTCCAATATGATTTTTATATAGTTAAAAATATGTGTAGCAGAATAATTTTTATAAATAACAATATAGTGCTCATCATGATTCAGTTTCACTTATTACACAATGATTAAATTTTGAGATCAAACGGTATATTAAAATGATTTTAAATGTGGACAGAACAAAAATTTTTAACCAATTAGTTTTAATTGCAAAAACTAATAAAAGGTAATTTTTTCAATGGAATAAAGATCTTGTGGACCTCTAGCATAGATTTCCAAACAATATTTTTCTCTGAGAGTACTCAATAAAATTTAATTATCTAGCTTCTTGAGAACTGGGATGAAACTAAGGAAATGTCATCTTTTGTGAAATTTGGATAGTTTATCTCAGCTTAACTATGATTATGGGGAAGAGTGATTTTCAATATATATTACTTACTAATCATTGATAGAAATCTGAATATTGGAAAACTTTTACCTGTCATTCAGCAGTTAAAGTTCACCCTAAGGCAGCTTCTTTCATAAGTCATAGACTCAATCTGTCAAGTTATACTCTGCTTAGAGCATTTGGGTGATCATTAAATATTAGCAGCTCTGGAATTTACAAAACAAAGCATTTAAAGTCTCATGGGCTACTATAGTTGTTTGATGCTGGGCAGTCACACGAACAGAGATTTGGACTAGACAACTCTGTTGGGAAAAATTAAGAGTATTGTCCACTGTGATGGACAATGTAAGTATAGGAGCCATTGATCTCAAGTGTAGTTTATTCTGTACTTCACTGAAATCTCTGGAATTTTAAACTGAGTCGAATATTCTCCATCTTCTGAAATTTTTATTGATGCACTGAGTCTTTTCTCAATTCTGTTCAGATGGTTTGGGATGTTTCATCTACAACTTCTGTCTTTCTCACATTTAAATAGTTTTATGGTGTCTCTTTCCTCACACTGAAGTACTTCAATGGATCATTTGACTGTTTTCTTATGTTCTCAGTTTATAAGACTTTCAGTAAAAGTTACTTAATGTACTGTCTGTCAACAATTCTCCAGAACAAAAAATCAAATATGTAAGTTTATAAGCATTTCTTTCTTTTAAAAAATAATTTTACCCAATTTTGACTCAAAATAAAAAACTTTGATTCATATAACCTGGTGTTTCCTGGAAATTCTCCCAGCTTTCAAACAGGAATTTCAAAGTACACATCTGTGTTAGTGCACTATGTTTCATCCCTGGCCTTCTTTTCCCCTCATGTTGGAAGGACTTCGTGCCGCTGAAAATCCCAGTTTCTTTCTCCATACTTTAGTTGCTCTTCTGATGAAACATGGCCCACCTGGAAAGTTTTGGAGCATGACTTGAGCAATTTCCCTCTTTTTCTCTCTCTTCTAGCTTGATAGCTGCAGAATGCTTGAGTTTCAGACTCTGTTCTCATCTTTGCGGGGAGCCTGAAACTACCTGGTGTTGCCTTTGCCTGAAGATTCATCTGTTACTCAAGGGAAAGTCATTGGACGCCTGGCAGAATTGCCCATTAAAACTGTGTTCTCCTATGTGCTTCATTAGAAGAAAGGTGACACAGGGGTGAGTCCATGTCGCCATTGTCTTCGGATTAGGGAGAGGAAAAACCATTTATTTGATGCCTTAAATTCCCTAAATCTTCATGTATATGTTATATTTATTTCATGAATGACTACTCAAGCTTTTATATTTTCAGCTTGCTAGGGAAATGTGTCTTTCTCTTGGCACTTTTCCCCTGGCTTTACATGATAAATTTAACTGGCAGAAATGAAGTACTATTACACTCGCTAATGTTTTGAATAGGAAAACAAAGCAATTCCAAGAGAAGCACATTTTAGCTTTGGTCATTACCAACTGAACAAAAAAGGATTCTGAAAGGTATCCAAATCTTTTAGAATGTCATTATTCTAAATTAGGTCAGCTCACAAATTTTTGCAAAAGTTTTGTACAGAATGATTTGGCCTTTGGGCAAATTCAAAGTGACTATTTAGGGTGCAGCAAAAATATTTTCCTTGTCTTATAACTATTTTACTATTTTTCTTTCTGCATTTCTTCTTTCTTTGTTTCATGGTTGGGGATTTGAGGATTCAGTGTCTTTGGGTTTAAAAATATGAATGAGAGTTTTGATGATTACATCTATTTATCAGGTTCAGTTCTGATTTGTGCTTGTCTCAACATAATATAAACTAATCTGTTAAAATACTCCAGTTGAGATGATAAATTAGATAACATCTCTAAAACGAAGTACATAATTCCTGATGTTTGTGGATGGAATCATGCTTTCAGATGTTTTAATATTATTCTCATTTAAGAGAGATGAAGTAGAGTTATTTAAGAGCTCAACGTAGTAGACTGTTTTTTGCTCTACTTTGCATTATGTGTGAAATCATGCTAAAAATACCCGTAAGCATCTCCAGGAAAAGAACTTGTCAAGTTCTTAAACTTTCTGCTAGACGGTAGGACGCTAGTATGGCATGGTCCTAGTAACATGTAAAAAGAGAGAGATTAAGAAAGAAACTTACAGGATAATACAGCGTGGCTTGGGTGACTACAAAAGATAGTTTTTTCAAGATAGAAAACTGGGTGGAATTGGGCAAATTTGCAGTCTACCAATCTAATAGATTTAGTTGTTGATCACAGTGGAGTGAGGGGCTAAAGGCAAATCTTAATGAATAAAATGCTGGTCCAAATTGCCCTGATGAACTGGTTGTTACTCTTATCAAGTAACCAGTTTTAGATGATTTATAATTCTATCTTACTGAAGGAAGTACTTTAGTAACTAAGGTTGCTAAGGTATCTTTACTATTTTGTCAGTCAGAAAATTTCTTTTATGCTACTTGAAATTTAAAATAACTTTGGCTTATTATATTGAAATGGAATTCATTGTTTTTAGCTGTTTTAAGATTAATCTCAAAATTTATTTATAGGAGTTTACACTTTTTTCGGAATATAGTGAGATGGTGATAATAATTTTGCTTGCTACCTGAACTAAGACTTGACCCAGGTGTCTAGGTTTCCTCTAGAACAGTTTTGAATTGCTTATAATGGTGAGAAATTTTAATAAGTACCACACATTCCACATTGTCAGTGTCACCTTTGAGACATGGCAGGCAATTTTAGTGCCTGGTTTTTATTTGTATTGATAATTGCTTTGTAAGTCAACACTCAAAAATCAGTAGCATTCTTGAAGAGACACAACAAACTCACTGAGAAAAATTAAGGTAACCACACTTTTCATAATAGCATTGAAAAAAAGATAAAATACTTAGGAATTGACCTAACATAGGAAATGAAAGGCCTTTACAGTGAACAGTACAGTACTCTGAAAAGAGGATGTAACAAAGAGGATGTTAAAAAGTGAAAGATATCCCTTGTCTTGAGTAGGATGAATCAACATGGTGAAAATAGCCCTACTGCTAAAATTGTTGTAAAATAAATCCCAATCAAAATACCAATAGCATGCCTTATAGAATCAGAGAAAAGAATCCTAAAATGTATTTGGTGCCAGAAGAGACCTACAATAGCAAAAGTAATTCTGGGAAACAATGGCAAGTCAAGCGACATCAAAATTCCTGATTTTTAAATCATACTGCAAAGATACAGTGATGAAAATAGTATGGTAACTGCAAAAAAACAGACCTGAGGATTAGTAGAATGGATTTGAAAATACAGAAGCAACTCCAAATGCACTCATCTATGTTATGTTTGACAAAGAGGACCAACACCCTTACTGGAAAAAATATAACATCTTTGATAAATGGTGTTGGAAAAACTGGCTTTCCACGTGTTGAAAATAAAAATTAGGCCCGTGTATCTCATCAGGTACTAAACTAAAATCAAAATGGATCAAAGATATAAATATTAAAATAAAACACTTAATCTGCTGAAAGATAGAATAGGTAGAACTGTTGAGGACATAGATATAGGCAAGGACTTTATGAAGCAAACCCAGATCACAAGGGAGTATTTTGTACAGAATCAACAACTGGGATCTCATCTTATTTAAAAGCTTTTTTGCACTAGAAAAGGAATCATCAAGAGAGTGAAGAGACAGCCCTCACCGTGGGAAAAAAATCTTAGCTGTTCCTTAGACAAAGGACTAATATCTTGAATACTATGTATTAAGAACTTTAAAAAAGCTGGACTCCCCCAAATTTAAAGATCCAAAAATAGGCAGCCAAAAATAGGATTGCAATAATAGGCATCTGACATGAATAGATACTTCAGATGAGGCAGTAGAATGGCAAATAAATGTATGAAAATGTTCAAAATTATTGGCCATTCAAAAGATGCAAATTAAAGGAATGCTGAGATTCCATCTCACTCTAGAAGAATGGCTGTCATCAATAAATCAGCCAATAAGAAGTGGTGGTGAGACTGGGGGTACACGGAACGCTACTCCACAGTTGGTGGGAGTGCAGACTGGTAAATCCCTGTGAAAGTCATTGTGAAGATTCCTCTCTAAGAGTGGAGAATTCATTTGACCCATCTACTCCCCTTCTTGGTATCTTCCCAAAGGAATCAAAAGCATTCATACCACAAGGCTATATGCTCACCCACATTTTTAGAAGTATAGTTTATAATAGCTAAATTTTTGAAATAGTCCAGTAGCCCATCAACCAATGAATGGATAAAGATCTTTTTTCTACAATGGAGTACTACTCCATCATAAAGAAAGATGAGCCTGAGACATTTGTAGCTAAATGCATGAACTGTGTGATAATACTCTTAAGTGAAATAAGTTGAACACTTGTTATGTTTGATACATTGTGTCAACTTGAGAAATCTAGGAACTTAACTAAGTAGTTCAGTTGCTCTATATCCTCGAGTGTAGAAGATAAACTATTAGTATACTAGGATGTTGTTCATTGTGTCAATTTGGAAAGGTCAGAGGTTTAACCCATTCAGCAGGGAGCCAGGGTCCTCACTTTGTAAACATCCTTAGCCTGTGTAAGAGGAGGGCACACAGATGGTGTGGGTGCTACATTCACCAATGGGCATAGCGCCTTGACAATAGAGGAGGAAAAGAAGCTTGCTCTTCCCCCTCTTCCTGCTTTGCTCCTTTGGCTGTCCCTGCTGCCTTAAAGTGTTGTCCCTGTGCCATGTCACACTGCTTTGGAGTCGGCTGATTACAGTCTGAAACCTCCACAAACTGTGAACTAAATAAATCTTTATTTCTTTAATTTTAGGAGTCTGTTATTTTGCCTCAGCATCAAGAGAAAAGCAACCAAGACAACACATGCAAACATCACGTAGTTTCTCTGGTGTGAGAAGCTGAGAGTGTAAACAAGGACCAGGATGTATATTAGATATTATGAAATAGGAAAAAAGTACTCAGTTGGGAAGGGTACCAAGGAAAGGGAGGAGGAGGAAAAGAAGGAGGGGAAAAGAAAAAGAAGAGATAAAAATGGGAAAAAAGCTTTTGTAAGTAAGTATGGGAAGAGGAGTTGAAATGGGAAGGAGATGGAGGACAAAAAGAGCTAAGTCATGTGGAGGTACAAAGTCCACATGATGAAAGTGATCATTACATATATTTAATATGCATCAATGACTTTAACTGGTAATAAACATTGTGGAGGAGATGAGAAAATATATCTGGTTTTGGCAATAATATTTAGTTCAATTTTGCTTAATAAAATAGAGCTGGGAATGTAATTCCCTTCCAAATAAAGAAGAGTAGAACAATAACAACAGGACAAAGAAAATTGCTTCAAGTGATGTTACACCCCTTGACTTTCAGAGAGTTAATAAAATCGTTTATTATTTGTTTTTTATTAACAAATAATGGTATGGTATGGTATGGTCTAAAATCACATATCAAAATCTTCTCCAGTTCTCTACTTAATTCAGAATGCTTTTTAGTAATTATTAAAAAAAACACTAGTTTTGTAATAACAAATGAAGTCAAATGGCATGTTAATATAAGATGAACGTTTAGCTTGTAAACTGAGGCTGTGGCTTCAAAATAACTAAAAATGTGGCCGGAACTGTGGAGAAACTTGCTAATACTGCTGAGTATTGGATAGTGCTGAGTATTGTGGCAGAAATATACAAATGATATTTTTAAAGAGAAAGCTGTCTTCACAGTCTCATACTAACATTTCACAAACTTTACAGTATAGGAAAATTTTGGGAGAATCAGTTTCCCATGTGACACATGACCTTGGAAACAAAAGAACAAATGATGCACTTTGTGTGTACATTTTGCCATATTTACATCATCGGTGGATTAGGTAGCTCAAAGATTCTTTTATATAATTACTTAAATCTTACTATTAGTAGATGACATGATATTTTATTAGTGTATATTAATTATACAGAGAAGAAACGTTTTAAATTACTATTTTAATGTTGAGTTTTTGCAGCTTACTTTGTGTAACTCATCAAAATAAAGTGGTAGTGGTTCAATTTGTCTTTTTAAGAAGATCATGATAATAATATTGAATGATGTTCTATCATGCTCAACTCAAAGAAGTCCATCTAATTAGATCTATTTACAATGAAACCCGTTAAAACTATTGATTTTCATAAAAGTTATACCTACAAAATTCATTTTTCAGTGTACTTTAATAGTAACCGAAAATTTTATTTTTGATTATGAATTTATATTTTAAGTGGACATATTTAAGTCTCATGATGAAATTGCTTGTCAAAAATACAATTGACTAACCATTTTTTTTAAAAAAAAGTTCGTCATATTATACATGTTTTATGAACTCTGCCTATTGGCTCCATGATGGGGGTCGGGAGGAGACTATTCAGCAAGAAGACAAAGCTTGCCTTCCTGTTAACCAGCTGGCACACGAAATGGGAAACCTGAAGAACATGCCCCGCTCCCTGGAAGCAGTTGGCTGATTCAGAGGACTCAGGTGAGATGATAGCTACCGAAGTGAGAGGAATAGCTTGATGCTTATGTTGTTTGATTGGCTTTGCAGGCCCGGGGCTGGTGGTCTGCACATCTATTGGGAGGATGGAAATTTATACTGTGGCACTATGGGGGATTTCCTTCTGCCTGTGTTTTATGTCATTTTTCTGTTTTGTATTATTCTGTTTCTGATAACATGAGCGAATATTTTGAAGGTAACAACCATTGTTAAATTGCTATCATCTTGTTTTGAAAACCTATGTAGCTTTTTTTTTGTTGTTGTCATTTTGCTTTTTTAAAGTTTGCTTCATCTTGATTTTTCTGTTTGTTCTTTCTTCTCTTTCAAATAAAAAACTGAAAAATAAAAAAGAAAAAAATGAACTCTGTCCTGAAAGCCATTAGATGGTATATTAATAAGACTGATATAAATGGATTAGGGTATGTAGATTATTATATGTATAGAGTATTTTAAGTTTGCTTTGTGTTTTAGGGTAAAGATGTCCAGAAGAATTATATAAATTTAAATCTTAGTTAATTTTCAACTTGTATGGCTTGATTAGATGTTTTTCCTTCTGTAAGCCCCATTTCTTTATTAAATTGATAATTCTCAGAGAGCTGTTTGAAGAATTATCTGACAACATATATGTAGAAAGCTCATTACAGTACTTGGCATGTGAAAAATCTATATTAATTATGATTATAATCCCTGCCATTTTATTAGTAACATTAATTTAATGTGTGCTTATGAAGTATGACATATTTTTTGATCTCCATGTTTTTATAACTGCTTTGATCACCTCCTCTTTACCCCGCGGTGAGGGAGGAATTTCCACTCGAGAGTTAGAGATGGCCAAACATGTGACCCCGACATTGAACATAAGAGACCCAGAGAAGTTTGCTGCTCACACACCTGCCGAGTTTGCGGGAGGCCAACAGGGGCAATGTCCCTGAGCAGAATTTGAATGGCAGGATTCTGGACATCAAGACTTGTAATGACAAGAGTGTGAGCCACCGTGGCTCATGTGAGACCAAGTGTTTGATTTGTCTGATAAATTCTGCAGGCTAGCAGGGAACTGAAGTCCACTACTCAGAGGTGATTGCTGCCTGAGTCCGTTGTTCTGTTGAGGGCTGTTTGGTTAGGGGACTTCACCCGTGACAGCACAGAAGGGAAGGAACTTGTCCTTTAGATATTGAAGCCCCTCCCAGATGTACCTGTAAAGGGGACACATAATACTTCCACACTTCTTACTCCATAATGACACTAGTTTAAGCCAGTGCTGGATATTTAAACAACAAAATCATTTGTACCAATGTCTCTATGACAGACACGCAACAATATGGACAACAAAAGACTTCCAAGTATACTGAATCTTTCATCTAAAGTTTATGCTTTTTTAGCTTTTAAAATACTTTTGGCAGGGGAGAATTGTTAATTTATAGCCAAGCTATATTCTGCTTCAGTTATTTTTGAAGACTTAGTTGGAAATTTTGACTTGGAATACAATTTTTGTCACTTTTACCAAGGGTATTGTGCCTTTTAAAAAATAAGTCAGTAACTCCACATTCTGTGCTTGTAATTTCCAGGCAGATATAGCCACTGCGTATTTTACCATTTAAGTGATTCTGGGTGTGATTAGAAAGAAGCACATTATACCAATCTTCCATAATCTAAGTGAATTTCCATTTGCTGAAGTTAAATTTAGGATGGGCATTTTCATTCCTTAAGTACTATTTGGTTATCTCTTTTATGGGCTCACATTACGATTGTCATCATGCAATATATATGGTGCGGTAAAATAGTCTTCAAGAACCTATTCTTCGATAATTATTGCCTTCCTTAATTCAACATCGCCCCAGGTTATTGACTGAGAATGACTTTAATGTATATGAATGCCAATTTTAAGTGCTTCAGTAAATGCTTCAAGTTTTGTCTTTACTAGATACAGAATCTTAAATTTCTAATTCCTACATTACATCCTCTGTGGGGGTTTGGAAAGTTGAACTAATCCTCTTAATTATCGACATACAATTTTGTCAAGTGTTAGCAAGATCCCATAGAATATATAACTAAACCCCCAGCTGTCAGGTCCTTTGCAATTGACGATGACAACAAACAGCACAATTTAGAATTTATAATATCACATGAATTAACTAAGCAATGTAGTTTCTGTGAAATACACCTAAGTGACATCAAAAAATGTGAATAATAAGCAGGAGCATTGGCTGGCAATTTATTGTATTATTTCCAGTTATCAAATTGTCTTTAGTTTAAACTTGAACATGAAGTGTTAGGAAGAAAAGTAATCTTAGTGCTAAAAGTCTTGTTCTGTTTGCCACAGAGATAGCTTGCTGTCTGCTTGATATTCGTTTCTTCCTCTTTTCCATTATTAGTAGAAACCTAGTTTTGTGTCTGACTAATGTTCTCCTCTGCCACATTCCCTTGCAGCTAAAGATAGTGAAAGGAATCAGATAGAATTTGGCAAACTTCTTTAGTGGCTGGGTATCTTTCTCACTTAAACCAAAGAAATGCCTAACAGTTGTAAGTGGTTCTATCTAAACAATTTAGTAAATATACATGTTCTAACCAGATAGTAGCCACTTGAAAAACTTCTAAACATTAGCCAAGAGAAAACCATTTTGATTTCATTCTGGACCAACCAAAATTACATATTAATGGAAGTTTTCTGCTTTAAGTGAGTGCAATGTTTCAAAGTTTGGAATCAGATTGAACACTGGAAACACTTTTCTCATTTCTTTGTATGTATTAATTTTAATATGAGTTGCTTTTTAAAAAATAACATTCACTGTCTTTTAAAGATAAATCTTGGATAACAAATATTGAAACTGAATCTGTGTGAGTTAATAGCTCCATGTCTGATAAATCTTATTACTATGCTGTCTTCAAAATTTAAAATATCCTGTCACGACTTGCATAAATGTGCAGCTGTGCCATGGAGTAACTTGGTTCAGAACCATGGGTATGAGGAGCAGCTGTTGAGCGCGACATTAGGGAATTTTGGAAGTGAGCAGACACAGCCAGAGTGCACCTATTTGCCTTTTGTATTGCATGCTTCCCATTGGAGTGCAGACTTTGTAGTGTCCTGTGCTGCAGAAGTCGTATTATACTCATGAGAACAGAAGCCCTCCACTGAAGATGACCAAAGAGTAAGTTGGAAGGAAACTGAGAAGACCTTAATGTCTGCTTTGTCCTCTCTCGTGGGCCTGGATGGCTCTTCAGTGGGATTTTGCCACCATAAATAGCACTGTGGAATGAGCTGAATGCAACCTTAACTGCCTTATTCTGAATTTTAGTAATTCCCCCACTGGGTAGCAGCTTGAATTTGATGATCAACCAATATTTGAAAGAATGGGAGAAGAATGTCTGAAGGCCAGCACACATTGATTAAGGATGATACTTTAATATTCTTTAGGAACAGAAAATGCTCCAGTGTACTGAATTCTTGACAGTGAGTTGGCAAAGCAGTGAGGTATTGCTGTAAAAGATCTAATTTAGTAGCTGGGCATAGGAACATTTGTTTCAAAAAATGAACTTGTGGTGGACAATCTGACTAATGCTATTTACAACACCTTTTCCGAACTTTTCCTTTTAAGACATGAAACTGTGGGAACACTGGGCTTTTGCTATTGAAGTAAATGAAAATGCCAGTGTCCATCTATTCGATATGAACAATCTTTCTGGTTTTCAATTTCACTTTATGTCCTCCTTCTACGGGCTCTGCTGTCACCGAATATGAAAGATCCAAGGACCAATTCTTCTTTCACTGTTACTTGGAAATGGAGTCTTGTGTATGACTTGCAAATTAACTGAAAGAGAATGCCCAACTCATTTGCTGGCATCAGAGAATTCTACCATTAACTGTCAGTAAAAGGGAACAAGAATCTCTAGTGCAAACCCAAAAATTCAATTCCTGTATCTTTTTTTTTTTTTTTTTTTTTGTACCAGGAATCAAACTCAGTACCTTGCGCTTGCAAGGCAGGTGCATATCCTGCTGAGGTATGTCCTTGGACCTAATTCACATATCTTTTAACATCAAAGATACGAACAGAAGTTCATAAATTCTTCATATTCCAACTCTAGACTCCAAATAATATTTTATCTCCTTATTCCTTTCTTGCTACTCCTTCTTATCTGCACTGCCTACGGATAGACAAAAGGAAGCTTATTATTTCATCTACAGGGAACAAAGAAGGAATGTAAACTCAGAAAATTTTTGTTGTTTGTGACTTAAATACTGTCTATTTTTGAAAGACATTTCCATTGTCCTTGAATTATATTTAAAAAATTGCCTTCCATAAATTAAGCAATACATAAATACTTATTAACATCTACCATGTACTAACATTTCCACATATTTTATTTAACATTTAAATTATTTCAGCCTAAAAATGAGTGTCCTAGGTGGTGTAGAAATTGGGAGAATCCACACACTGGGCTCGAGTCACTCTTTGTCATCCCACTTAGAAAGGCGACCGCTTGCATCCTCATAGCTAACTGTCTGGAAGTGAGAACAGAGTTCACACATGCCAGTGCGAACCACATTGGTTCCAAGGATTTCTTGGCTCAGCAGATGTCTCACCTAGGTGGACAGCACACTTATCAAAAGCCAAATCAGTTTCCTTATGAAGACGTGGAAACCCAGTCTCCCCATCAGATGCCCACAGATTCTAAACCATGGCATCATGAACTCAGCTCAATTCATATCAGGATCCCACCTTGACAGATTTGCCTTGCCTGCTTGATTTCAGACTCTGAAATTCTCTATAACTAGTACCCTTCTCTAGCTTCTGCATTACACTGTTTTGTGCTCTCCCTTTCTATGATGGGCTAATGAATTTGATTTTACTTGATAACAGTTTTTCCAGTGGGTCATTTAAGCAGCTGTCAGCCAACATGACTGATAATTATAAATTTTGTTCTCTATCGTTCAGCAGTGCTGTGTAGCGAAAAGTTAACTAACCTAATGAAATTTGGCATCTGTTCTCGGTTCCTGGGAGGTTACCTCTGATTCATAACTCCTTAATTTACAGTGATGACCTTGGTCCTATCTGTGGCCTATTTTCACATCACATTAATATACAAATTCTTTTAGTTTTGAATTTTTCTTGTATTTTGTAGAATTATAAATTTATTTTCTCAACCAGAGGTTTGGTTTTTCTTTTTAAGATAAACAATGCATCATAGTTACAAAGTTTTAAAAGTTATCTTTCCTTTTAAAGAAACATATTTGCATTTTCCCTGTTTTATGTTGAAATTTGATTTGCACTTAAAGTTAGCCAAAGGCTGAGAAATGATTGAACTTTGTCTGTACCTACATTACTCATCTTCCCATCACTGGGACGAAAGACCCAACACCCACCACTACAAGGAGGAAAGGTTTATTATATTTTGCCTAACAGTTTGCAGTGGATTTAGCTGTTGATTGGGTATTTCCATGACAGAAAGAGCATGGTGGGAGGGCATGGCAAAAAATCTTTAAACATTTTAAATGCATGGGATAATTTCATTTCAATTTAATCTATATTCAATCTATGTGTCTATCTACCTACCTGATATAGGTAAGTTTATTTCATTTAAACAAAAGCAAAGCTACTATTGATCATTATGACAAGAGCTAGTATTTATTGCTTTTTGTGTGCCAGATCTTTTTCAAAGTGTCATATAAATATTATCTGAGTTAATCCTCACAATGTCTCCATGAGATACAGTTTATTATTATTCTAATATTAATATTGAAAAAGTAAAGTTTTAGTTTTGTTGATGTTCCCACGCCTAGTAAATGCTGGAGTATGATAATTATATAGTCACAGTGCTGAGATCTTTGCTTCAAAAGTATTTATTTTATTTGGCTTTTGGATTACAAGATCAAACTATATTTCCTCTATCTGTGACATGTACACAATCCATTTCAATAGATGATGATTGCTACGTGGAGTAAATTGTTTAAATAGAAATATGAGCATGAAACTCTGCCTAGAGCAGTCTGAGAACATTTCACAGGAAAATGTAGAATTTGAGCTGAATCTTCTAGGATGAATGAAAAATTGCTAAAGTAAGGATAGATGTTGAGGTTGAAGAAAAAGTGTGTAAAATTCTAAGGGCTCATGTAAGCATGTGTATCAGAGAAAGAAAAATAATAGATATTAAAGTTTGGAAGCAGTATATCTTCTGAAAAAATAAGTCCTGTAGTTTTGATAAATTTCCTACACACACACACACACACACACACACACACACACACACACACACACACGTTGTCTGAGGAAAGATATGTTCCAGTTTCCTAAATTACTGGGAAATGACACCTCTATATTTTCACTGCTGACAGCTTGACACTATTTTTCCCCCACTTTTGCTCAGTGAAATAATTTGTTCTTTATTGGACAGTCTTACAGGTTTAGAGGCCAGACTGTCCAGCAGAGAGACTGCAGTTTCCTACTGTTTCCGCTTATTTCCATCCTTAACAACACAATTACAAATAAACGGTGACTGCCCGGGCTGTCTCTGACACTGATGCGAGGAGAAATATGGCAGCAACCTGGCAGCTTGAGCAGCTCAAATCGTAAACACTTAAGGTAAAGAATATCCACTTCCAATAGAGACGAGTAGTGAGAGACCACATTTCCAATGTACAATTAAAGAGCTTTACCGGGGGAGAAAACTAAAGTGCATTGTCAACATATTATCTGTCCAAAGTCACTTTGTCTTCTTTCTAGTGTTGAGAAAATGTGGAACTAGAAAGAGGACTGATACACACAAGGTCTGACTTGGAAAAACTCAGAGAAGCATAGATTTAGTGCTTAATTAAAGCAATCATGAGACTTGGGTAGGCATCTACTGTATCTCCAGCTGTATGTATGTAATTAAGATGTTCACAAGCAATTAAAAGTGTTTATTTTACAGAAAAAACTAAAAACATTATGAAATGATTCCATGTAGATGGAAAATGGGGAGGAAAACAATATTTCTCCTAGTCTTCCTACCAAGAGAAAATTTTATTGAAACTTGTTTCTTTCCAATGACTTTTGAATGATGATCAATATTAATATTGATGTATTTATTTAAAATTATAACAAGTGGACATTTTTAATGGTACAGAGAACTGAGGATTGAATGCAGTACCTTTGCTCTGAGCCCTAGATAGATTTAAGTTTGGTTCCCAGCAGCTTCCGTAGAGTGTTGTAATTCATCTTGATTTGTTAATTATGCAATCTGAGGATCCACTAATAACTGAACAGTTGAATCTCAGCCAATCATAATATCTGAACTTCCAGCCAATAGAGACTTAAAGCTGCCAAAACATAAGCATATAAGGCAAATATGAACTGTAGCCCACCAGGCTGCTTCTCTAGAGCACTTCCTTTTCTCTGGCTCTGACTTGCTCATGTGGTAGTGTGGGATATTCTGTGGAAGGCTGCTCTATTGTATGGTCATTTTATTTGCTCCAATGAAGTTTGGTAAGTTGAACTGGTATAAGTTTTTAACATTAGTTTTGGGCTCCTAAAACTGTGAGCTGAAATTGAGAATTCAGAGAAGGAAGTCACTCAGCATAGCCAGAATGTGAACAAGAATAGAAATTGATAGGAGCTGAGATTGAAGATATGGGCAGGATCCAGATGAGAGAGATTCCAGGGCATGAGCTGGAGGGGAGCACTTATTATGTTTATTAAATCATGTGCACTTCATTTTATAGACAATGAAGAATCATGGAAAATTTAAACTGAAAGAACATGATCAGTTTTATGTTTTAAATTTGCTGGTGGCAATATGATACTGTCTCTCAAATACAGTATTCAAAAATATACTTTACTGATATTGTTGTTATTTTCTTGTCTGTTTCTCAGGGGGGATAAAGAACACAGATCTCTTGACCCAGAACTGCATAAAATTATGTCCTGTCTTTTCAATGCTCAACTTTTGAAAATTATCAGTATTGGCATTTTATTAATAGTTAAACCTATGAAAAAATTCCTGTAATGTTTTAGGGATAAAGATTTTTTTAAGTTTCATTAAAATCTGGCTGTAGAGTTATGAATATCTCCTATTACATTTCTCAGAAGAAGAGCACACTGAAAATGACTCTGCAGAGAGTGTGGAAAGAAACAAAGAAAGATACAAGAGGTGGACTCCGCTACCTTCGCAAAGGGGAATGTGATCTGAACTAAGGAAATATTTTTATATTTGACAAGAATAGATACATGTGAAAATATTTAGTGGTATAATTAATACAATGTGCACATCAACAGTATGTGAAAAGTGAGACGGGAGAGTTAGACGGCTCCAAGTTTCCTGGAAGTGATGGTGTTTTGGTTGAGATTAAATGAAAGGATGTTTACAAACTGCACAAGAGGTCACAGCAGGAGGCAGGACCCTGCAAAGACGAAGAGGAGTAATCTTACCCAGCTCTTCTTCTTTTCCTTGCTCACGTTCTCTCCTTTCCCTTTTGTGTGTGTTTTTTCAGCGGGGGGGGGGGTGTTGGGTATTTAGCTCAGCGGCATAAGCGCCTGCCTTGCAAGCAGGCAGTCATGAGTTCGATCCCCAGTACCGATAAAAAAAAAACAAAAACAAAACCAAAAAAAAAAAAACCCACTCAGTTTCTCTTCTCTCTAGTGCCTTTCTTCAGACTTCTGGAAAATAATAATCTGTACAAATTTTAAAAAATCAGAGGGTTGTGGATTAAACTAAAGCTCATTTCCAGTGCCCATTCTCCAGGGGCCTGGGGCAGGGTACATTGGGTACCACGTCATGCATGGTTCTAACACTCCTTTGAGGCAAGCATCTTTCTCTGGTTTTATATCTGGATGTGTCTCTCTTCTCCCCTTTCCGTTGTTTCTTAATTTTTTTATTTTTTTGTTTACTTTTGCTCTACTATTGATAAAATGAATGGTAGATTTTTATAGATTTTTAATTTATTCATGAAAAATAAGTGAAGGTTTTATGCTTTCGTTCCACAGCTAATCAACATGTAAATAAATCTGCTTTTGCATTTGTTCCTGAACAAAATTTTTCATTTATTGTTTTTTCTGCAGAAATATGCTTTTCCCATCTGTATGTATTGATAATTCTTTAAAAGGTCAGTTGTTTACTGTCATAAACTGCTGCCACTTGATGTGAGTCTAAAAAAAATCAAGCAAGGGTGCTCCATGTAAATATGTCCCTTCTGATTTTACCACTGTAAGTTAAACCTGGAATGCTTGTCAACTAACATGTGGGACAACATTTTAAAGTTAAAGTAGCAATTAAATGCTTCAATACAAAAGTAAAAAGTGATTTAGGCAAAAGATATTGGGCAACTTGAATAAGTTATCTGTTATTCAGCAAAAATGTTGATCTCAATAAATGTTCCACAAAAGGGCAATTTGAGTTAATAATGAAATGAAATGAAACAAAACACTTTATACCTTATGCATACTTTTTAATCCCCCAAAATGTAAAGTGAAAATCTTGAAAGTGGCTGGATGAAGAAATCACACTACTGACACAGAAACAAGATAAGGATTACATCTGTTATTTAGGAAGCAAACCAGAAAAAAAAAAAAAAAGGAAAACAAAACAAGAATAATAAAAAGAAAGAAGTATACAGCATGTTAGATGTTGAGCCAAAATATCAGTAATCATTTTACGTGTCAATGGTGTAAATACACCAATTAAAAGAAAAATTGTCAGGGCAAATGTCTATCAGAAAGTGGGTGTAAATAAAGACTGGCATAAACTAGAAGGAAGTGGATGGTGAAGAATATGTCATGTTTATCTAAACAAATCTTGAATAGCTATATTTACTTCAGATAGAACTGACATCAGAGCAAGGAAAATTTTCAGGATAAAGAGGAGCATGTAATATGGTAAAAGGGTCAATTCTGTAAGAAGACCTCTTCATATAAATATATCCTACAGTGGAAGTGTCAAAATACATGAGACAAAACCTGACAGAATCGCGTGGAGAAATAGATGAATCTAGTACTAGAGTTGAAAACACCTTCAACCTGAAAATTCACACAAAAACCTACACACAGATATTTATAGACAATTCAATCATAATTGCTGAAACTTGGAAGCAATCAAGATGTCTTTTGGTAAGTGAATGGATTAACTGTGATATACCCAGACAATAGAATATTGCTCAGAGCCAAAAAATACTGAGCTATCAAAGTCATGAAAAGACATGGAGAAATCTTACATGTATACACCTACGGGAGAGAAGCCCGTCTGAAAAGTTATACATTCTGTGCTTCTGACTGTATAACATTGAAAAGGCAAAACTACACAGACAATGAAAAAATCAGAGGCTGCCAATTGTTGCAGAGGAAGGAGGAATGAATGGGCGAAGCACAAAGGATTTTTAAGGCAGTGAGCCTCCTCCTTTGGAGGATGCTATAATGGTGAGTGCACAGTGGGAACCATTATAAGTTTGTTGAAACCCATAGCATGTGCAATACAGAGAATGAACTCAAATGTAAGTAGGCAGTGATGAGTCAGTGTAAGTTTATCGGTTTAATGAATGTGCTGCTCTGTGGGTGCAGGGGCAGGATTCCTGTACCTTCCATGTTAGTTAAATGCTACTTTAAAACTCAAAAAAATAATTTTGTTAGGAGAGTGAAAAAGAGACTGGCAACGTGAGTACAGGAATCTATATAAATGCTATGTTGGCTTTGTGAATTACAACTCAATTACATAATATTAGAATTCCTTGAAGTTTTTAAAATGTTGCTTATGGGTGATTGATTTATTTGCTCTAATTTTTTTGGGTTTCTGATAATCTTGTACTGAGAGCCATAGTATTAAATGACTAGTCTGCAAAATTCTCACCTGCCACTTTGAACTGAGGGGCAAAAAATATTACATTAACTCCTTCAATCAACTGACCAACCTATGAAAAATAATGAAGAAAAGACCCATAACACTAAAATTTGCAATGAACCATATTCCTCCTTAGCTTTATTATTATTTTTAGTTGGAAAGGGAAGAAATCGTGCTATGTTGTCTCTTATCATACTAACTGCTAGGGACAATTACTGGTATTGTTTATTTTATGGCATTCCAGAAAGGGTTGAAAAATTTTAATAGCATGTACCTAAAATGTTACTTAATTTTTTAAAAAAAATTTTTATTATTTTGAAGTTAATAAAATAAAACTGAACAAGAGAGAACAATGCCAATTGAAACAGTACAGTAAAACTGGTGCAGAACTTCACAGCAGGTTACCAGGATAACAGTAATAGGTATCATAGTATATCTCATTGTCTTCACAATAGTGGTTCTTTCAATCAGGTATAGCAACATCAAATGAAATATAGAACATTATAGAACTTACCAAAATAGAATATTGAATTGAGCAATACCATCAATCAGAGCAAAGCAAAGCAGTGATAAAAATATTTGCCTTCAAAGAGATGGCAGAAGGAAATTCCCTTTGTTATACTGCAGATAGTCAACTTCCCAACAGATGTTCAGATCTCTGGCTCCCATTTGCTAACAGGACAGGGTGTGGGGGAGGATGGGATATTTGATTCTCAGCCCCAGCACCAGTAGGCTCAGGGTCACTACCAGGAAGGCGAGCTGGTGGCTTGCTTTCCCAGAGCCCCAGGTTCCAACATGGCGCAGATCTCAGGAGACACTGGTGGCTCTCCCCTTGGGGTGGCCGCAGCTTGCCTGAGCCACAGCTCCTTACCAGGGAGGCAAGATGGTTGCTTGGTCTCCCCAAAAGTTACTTTCTTTAAAAATTTCCAAATATATTTTTTGAAATACTCATTTGCAGAAGCACATGCGGCAAGTAGCACTCAGATAAGTTGAAAGAGACAGGTGAGAGGCCACAAAATCAGACTTGCAATTATTTGGTGTTGGCAGTCACATGAGTTGTCTAGTCTCTGCAAGAGGAGGACAGTTTCTGTGTTTTTCACTGTCAGCAACATGCTTGGCTGTGAGTCTGGAACAAAATAGGTGCTCTATAGATATTTGATGAATGATATAATTCACTAGAAAAGAAAGAAAGCTGATGATAAGTAACCTGTCCAATTTTTTTTTTTTTTAAAGAAAGAAAAACCTTGCAATAGCAATCTTGGGTGTTGCATAGAATTAGACCTCCTGGTTTTGGTAAGAGAAGCAGGGAAGTTTGAATCTTAATGATGAGCCATAGAAATATTATTTTGAGAATCAAGTTGATTCCTGAACTGACTCCTTGGCTTCCATCTCCTTAGTGAATGCAAGAGGAGCTAGGGTTCAAGGGCTGGCAGTTCTATTGTGAGGTGAGTTTTTATTACTTTGTTACTTAAGCCCCTTGATGTGGAGGGTGAGGGGGTGTGATTGGGTTGGGAAGTAAAACTTTTAAGATGTAATTAAATCTATATTTAATGTGACTTGGTTTAGATAGCTTTGGGTCAGATTTTAAGATCTCATTTTCTTTTACTTTTTCTAGTTACTATAACAAAAAATTTGTGACAACTCATCTCCTAGATTAAAAAGGATGCTTTTGTATGTGTTTTATATTTCACCTGTGTTATTTTGTATTATTATACTATACTACATTAGTTGTACTGCAGGAGGTATATTATTTGAAATCTGATTTATTCTACCTCTGCTTGTTCATTTCTGTCTTCTGTAAATTGATTTTCCTTTCTGCAGCACAGAGTAGGCACGAAAGGGAAAGGAAAGAGTGGACCCCTAACAAATGTTCCTGCGGAAACACTGCTCAAAATCTGATAATATAGGCAATTCAAAGATAATTAAAGTGTCAAAAAATCCATGGGCACATTTCATTAGGGCTGTGTTTACCACCTCAGATATCAACATTTTGTTTTGCAGACATAATTTTCCACACTTTAAAAAATGTTAGATTTTCTTGCCAGGTGAGTAACAGAAGAGCCTACTTCAGCATTTTAGTGTTCAAAATCTCGACAAAATTTTTTATCAAAATTTGAGAAGAATTTAAAAGGTCATTGAGTTTATTCAAAAATCATTTAACAGTGGAGGGAAATAAATGCTAGTTCTCAGCATCTATCCTTTGCTAAATTTGTAGCATTATAACTCAACAAGTCTATCTCAGTCCAAAAATGAAATGGTGGAGACACAAAACAGAAAGCAATCTGTGTCTTTGTTGTTGTTAGTTCCAAAATCTTGCCTCCAGCTTGAACTCAGCCAAGACAAATGCAAACTCTCATGAGATTCAAGCCAACAGAAATTTCACTTCATTGTTGGCCAAAGGAGTAGTGCTGTAGAACAGCAGAAAACCACATTTTCAAGTGTTTGTAATTCAATTCCCCTCTACCACCTGCATGAGGCAAATAATTCATTACAGTTTCCAACAGCAGCTTTGCCAGCTGGTGGACAAAATAAAGAATGCACTGAAGTCTTTAAAAACATGTTGGTTCACTGGTTATGCCCACACATCCATTGTATATATTCCGCCTGTCACTCTTACTGGTCAACTAGAATTTTCCATTCTATAAGTGGAATGGAAGCTGT